TCTCCTTGTTTATTATACCAAAGGATGGACACAGCAAGATGACAAGGGACAATCGAATCTCAAAACCACTCAGAGTCCTGCTCAGGGACTCTGGCTGAGGGTGCACCGTGTTCCGGGCTGAGAAGTCAGCATGGGCTCGCCCCACAGTTCAGCTACAGATGAACTGCCGGATGAACTGTTCCAGCCTTTCCTGGCTGTCCCGGCTGGCAAATGCAGGGGACAGCTGGAGCCTGGGGCCTGCAGGGCTGGGCATCTGCTGCAGCACCTGGACAGTAGAGATGGCCTGTGAGTGCCCTCACCATGGGGATTGTGCCCACAGGGCCCAAAGACCAAGCATGTCCCCTGGGGACCTGTGCTCAGACCTCCGGCCCCTCTAGCCTGTGTTTGAGTAGATGCTGCCTCGTCTCTACAACCACCCAGGTACTCCACCTGAGTAGGAAGAGCCGGCTGCTCAGGGAAACAAGAGGGGCAGGAAAACCACCCCACAGTGGCCACATCTATGCCTGGGAGACACTGGGTGAATTCCGAGGTCTGAGTGAGGTGTCATCAGGGCCTGCCTGTGAGATGGGGACACAACTGAGCACTTCTACCAAGGGCCGAGGGTTAGAGAAGGGACAGGAGAATGGGGACCCTGGGCCCTCTTACCCCCAGGTCTCTGAAGGTCCAGACACTCTGGAGGGAAGAGAGAAGTGAAGGCTCTAGGGTGGGAGTGCAGGAGCCACTGGACATAGGCTTCCCTCTCCCACTTACAGAAGGAACTGCCCAAAGACAGGGCTGAGAGGGACCAAGACCCTCTGCTCTATGGCTCTCCTTCCTGGAGTGGGCTGCCACTGCCCAGTAAGGGGCAGCAGTCTCCCAACAAACTCAGGCCTGCCTTCCTAAGCCACACTCTACCTGAGACAACACCTTGACACCCTGAGCATAGAGGGATGTCTACACACACACACACACACACACACACACACACCACGCAAAAAGGTTTCTACCATAGAATATGTGCGCTCACCAGAGAGAGAAAGAGAGAAACACAGAGGAGAAAGTGAGAAATCACCCCTAAGGATGGATGACCATACCATAATCCTTTATCCTTCATTCTTTCCTCAGCATTTTAGGCACACATTCACAAACACGTATACAGAGTGATTTCCAATCCACCAGGTCGAGGATTCCTACTGTGGTTGACCACATAAGAGTCCTGCACTTTAACCACTGTGCCACCTGCTGGCCCCTAGAGGGCCATCTTTAACTGAGGACAGAAGTTCAGTTGCAGGTATTAGGGAGATGTGATACATAACCAGCAAGTTCCCATCCATGGCTTCTGTTTCTCCACAAAGAATCAGATGGGGGCATCAGCTGACCCTGGGTAACTCTGAAGCCAACAAAACAGCCTTCCAGAAGGTCTCCTGCTCTCTACTCCTGACCCGAATTTATCATGCAGTCACTTAAAACCTCCTCACTGTTTTCACACACTTGAAAAGCCGTTCTAAACTTCTCATATGGCCCTGCTTGTTCTGGTCCCTTCTGCCTCTCACATTCATACCAGAAGCTCTCCCATCCCTTGCCAGCTTCCAACACACCGGGTCCTGTGCTTCCTGCCCAGGGCCAAGCTCATGCTATTCCCTCTAACCAAAACTGTTACCACCCCCATGCTCATACTCCCACTTGGCTCCTTTCTATCCTTTTGGCTCTGACTTACAAGCTTCTCCCTCCTCTAGGTATTCTAGTCTCAGCCCTTGTCCCCTCTTTCTTACACGGTGTGTACCTTTGCTAGCCCCGAACAAAGTCCTGCAACTAGCAGGAGCTGAGAGATGCTGGTGACGGTGGGAAGTGGAGGCAGGGTAAACACCGTCCAGCTCCCCAGGAGGGGAGTCCTGCCCAACCAAAACCCACTCTTCCAGAGGGGCAGAGCTCTGGCCTAGAGAAAAGTGTCCCTCAGTGTAGAGTTACCTGAGCAGGAAGGGCCAGGGTGGGGCCTGGATGTGGCCCAGAATGCGATATACCTCTTTCTTCATAAGGTCGGGCACACGGCCTTCCCCAGCTCCACTGGCGGCTGGTGGAAATACTACGGTCAGAGAGCTTAGGCCTTTCAAGTCAGGGCCTCAGTCTTCCTTCCCTAAGAATGGGCCTCAGGGAAAGCTGACCCTGTAGAACTTTGCCCCAGCGAGCCCTCTCAACCTGGAGCCCTTGTCATCCCTTGAGAGACCCCCACTCCTGCCCAGTTCTCACTCAGCGCTTTCCACTCATTTGTGGGGCATCCTGGCAGGGATGTATGTGCAGCTCAGGGACCACAAGAGATAGCAGAGCCTGTGAACGAGCCAACCCCGAAACCTGGGCACAGACTCAGAGCTGGGGGAAATTAATCCAGAGGCCCCTTCACACCCCAGCTCTGTGTGCAGCAACTCAGTGCCCCATTCTCACCCCTCTGCCCACTTAATGGAGGACAGCTTCAGGGCCTGACAGAGTGGGCCATCCACACCTGATCACAGGGGAACTGCAGGACTCTCCAAGAAGAGAGTCTCTCCCCTCCTGTGGGCAGGGAGCAGAGGTCAGAACCCTTCTTTTTCCACTGGAGGAAGAAAATGGCACCACGAAGCAAGACCGGAAAAGGCCTACACCCAAGGTGCCTTGCACAATCCCCAGCCCCATCCCTTAACCCTGAATACCTGGTGTTCTCCTAAACCAGCATCACATCACAGAAGCCCAGATCCATTATGCTTTTGTGGAAGAGGGTCTCTTGACAAATGGAGACAGGGATGGTGCACATCCTGGTGGCCCTTGGCAAACTGGCAAAGGTAAGCCCCCACCCTGCACCTCTGGACTCTGCCTGGTGGCCTACGGGGTCTCCAGGAAAAAGGATTTAGCACAGCATTTCCTAAGAGATAACTGACAGAAATCCTAATGCCGGTTCAGGAAAATGGATCCACACTCGAAATGAAGGCACAGCATCCCATTCAGAAGCGCCCCTTTCAGAGTGGCATACGGTTTCTAAAGTTCTCTCCTCAGCAGAGAACATGCAGCCTGGCTGGCTCTCCTTCACCAATTGGGGACCCCTTACTACCAGCACACAGCACAGACAAAATACGAGGTCTTTGAGCATCTGGTGAGCACTAGGTAAGACCGAGGGAGAGTGTCCCCAAGCAGAAGAACAGGACTTGGGCAGGGATGGTTTGACCGCAGCTCTCTGGGCACACCTACCCCATTAGGCCCCTCTGCACTTACCCACCCAACACCTCCAGGCCTGGGAGCCAGCCACAGCTCAGCAACAGCCAATACCAGTGCACCCATTCCCAGAAGGACAAAAGCCGAGGCATTTGCCTCAGAGGGCCGAGATCAGATGATTAAAAAGGGTCAACAAGTGGCACGGTGGTTAAGGAGCTGGAATTCCCACATGACCAGCCATGGTGTGTGTCTCGGACCTGGCGGCTTGCTTTCTCTCTCTCTCTTTCTCTGGCAAAACTCATGTGAAAAATAATATTAACAATAATAATTATAAATAAATCTTTTTTTTTTTAAAGGAGCAGTTTGCCAGGCCCTCATCTGACAGAATTAAGCTTCTCAGGGTGAGGCCTGGCCCCACTGTCACTCACCCAGCTCTTGGGGGTACAGGTCTGGCAGCAGCGACCCACAAAGGGGCGATATTTCCCCAGAAATGGGGTGACAGCCTCCAACTTCGTTCCAAAGCCTGAGGACCACAGGCTGTTCTGAAGAGAGTCACAGGGAGAGGTGAGGGCACTCAGAGTCCTTGGTAGAGGGACAGACACAGGAAGGGAAAGGGGGAGGCCAGAGGGTGACCTGGGAGTGGGAGGATCGCTGCACCTCCTGACCACGGTAGCTGCTCCTCTGCCGCGTGTGTAATCTGGCTTCTGACATGGTGTCCATGAGGGTCTATGAGACCTGGGAACCAGCCCCCTCTGCTTCTCTTCCTCCCTCCACAGGAACCTGACCTAGGGTAAAATGGAAAGATGAGCCATATAGAGTCTCAGCCACAGTCCAGTCCAGGGGTGACCCCAAGTCTTCCAGGACAGACGACACCCAGGCCAGCAGTGGTGAGGAGAACCCAGGCTGAAAGCTGGGGACTAGCTCAGAGCAAAGCCCTGCCCACACCCAACTGGTCTTGCCAAAGAGCCGGTCAATAAGCCTCGGTGTCAGGCCAGCTGGTGGTGCTGTGGATAAGGTGCTGGATCCCACATGGCGACTGGGATTCCAGTCCGGGACTGAACAGCTTGTGCGTGAATGCCCCAATTTCTGACATGAGAATGGAGACGGGATAGTGAATCCAGGGGGGCGGGGGTTTATGCCCTCTCTGGCAAGAGCACATGCCCTATAGCAAATTAAAAAAGAAAAACAAAAGCCCATCTTGGTACACACATCAGGGGCTCCTTCAGGGCAACTCAAAGGAGATCAGTTATCTTCCCATTAACAGCCACCCTGCCGTCTCCTGCACAGATGGGAGCCTGCACTGGAGACTCCGGGAAAGAGCAAGGGCTGGATTAGCACGAAAGTGGCATGAGATTGCCAAGGACGACCAGGACCATTACTGAGAGGCCACCAGGTCCTGTTCAGCCACTTTCTACCCCCTACCCCAAGGACGACAGGACTTTATCCGCTCCATCATCATAGAGATATGGACTGGCTATTATTAGGTAGAGAAAGCTGCGGGGCCAGAACACAGCGAAATGTTACACAGACCTATGCCCAAAGGTGCCCTGAGAACGGCCCCGCACGCCCGGGAGCCTGGCTCCCACGGCAAGAGGGTCCCTGGATGACCCACGACCCGGTCCCACCTGCCCGGCCCAGGAGTAACCCCACGGGTCTCACCTCCCCCCCCCAGGAAGGCGCAGAACGCCAGGCCTCAGCGCGCAGCCTCAGAGGCAGCCCTGAGAGCCAATCCAGACGCTCGCTGGGTCCGAAGCCCCGCCCCCGACGAGTGCCGCCCCCCTACCCCACCCACCCCTCCGACCCTGTGCCCACTGCGGCCACGTGACTTCCTCTGGGCAACGTGGGGACTGGGCTGTGGTTGGCTGGGAGCGCTGGCCCACCCCGCCTCTGACTCCATACGGAAACCTGCTCGCCCTTGCCTGCTAGGCCCCTCATGTGCATCGGGACCCCTGGAGACTATCACGGGACCCTGGATGCTCAAAGTTTGGACAAGGACTTGTAGGTAGCCAGGTTCTAACGAAGGTTTGTTCCTCGTGTACACGCACCGCCCAGATGGAGTTCAGGCTCTGGCAAAATTCTGAGTTGGGGACCCTTGGAAAAGAGAGTGGGCCTGCTGCTGGCGTGGTGGCATGGTGGCTGGGGAGGCTGGATCCCACATGACACACGGCCAAGTTGGAGACCTGGCCTGACAGCTAAAAAGCATTCTGAGCATGCGTGTGTGGGTGTGCCTGTGTACCCTTGCCCAAAATCCTGAAATGGAAAATGGAGAAGGGTTGCGGCGTGACCATCCTCCATCAGGGAGGGGGCGCTTTCTCGTTTTTCCAGTCATCTGTGAGTGCTCGTGTGTTTTCTGGCGAAGTGAAAAAAGGAAGAGGTATCTAGGAGTCATTTTTGGTTTATGAGAAAGAAGCCAGGCCTCCCCAGTGTCGTTTCCTTTGTTAAGGAGAACTCAAGAGCATAGTCAGGGACTTGCTGCAGTCACAGTTGCGTACATTTCAGCGGGACCTATGGCTGGCGAGTTCATCCCTCAGGTGATTTGATGAATACCCCACTCCTGTCTCAGTCCCCAGCTCTGTGACAATGAAGAAATTATGACTTCATTCATCTTTTGACTGTGTCCCCAGCACGTGGCAGGCAAGCAATGTGGAATAATCGAACAAAGGGATGTGTGTGCTCTGTTCCTCTGCTGCCCCCATGTAATGAGCCCCCCTGACGTGCCAGTGGGTATGGCTTCAGAGCATTGTGATGCTGCAGGAGCAAAGCCACATAGGAGCCTGCTGGGCCCCAGATAGCAGAAACCTGGGTCACATCCGCCCTCCTCTCTGACTCACCACCCAGTGTGTTCTCCCCGCGCCCCTGCTCCCAGCTGTAGCTGTGTCCCGCCCTCTGTGCCACATCGCACCTCCCCAGGCTGTGTAACTGCATCCACTCACTCTAACCTATGTTCGCAATGTTGTTCCATACGTGCAGTCCATTGTGTGGCTCATCTTACCGTTCTTCTGTGGCAGGATACGCTGACCACAATAGACCCTGAGATTCTGAAGCTGAAAGAGAAAGAAAAAAAAAAAAAAAGGAAAAAACACATCTTTTTTTAGAAGTTGTGAGTTCCCTCCCTCCCTAGACTAGGCTTGAATTTACCTGAAGGTTGACACCCCTTGCCATTGAGATGTCAGCAAGCCCCACCTCTCCTTCCTGGAGAGACCTGATGCTGAGAAGTAGCTCAAGGCAGATGCTTCAGAACGGAAGTTGTATGGATTGTGACAACAGACAGCAGTTGTGTCATATGGCAGAGTTCTGTCCTTAGATGAGTTGCTTCTTTGGGGAAAAATGTCTTCTATTGTAGCAGTGATTTGCTACAATTCAAAATATAAAAAGGAGCACCACCTCCCAGTCTTGGATCATAATTGGGGTGCCAATGACTGAGCATGCTCTTTTTCAACAACTTGCAAATAATGAAGAGCTGCAGTGCAGCAGGACTTAAAGGCCAGCTGTCATCAAGGCTGACTGTGACTGGGACACCAGGCTGCCTGTGGCTACGGGTCCTAACAGACAGGACCCATGGCTCACCCACCTCCTTCCCGCCATCCCCCTCTTGGCTTTGCACCTCATGTTTGTGTCTTGGGACTTTAATACGAACTTGCGTGCCTCCCTACCGCATCTGGAGACTGGTTCAAGCTAGCAGCATTGCCAGACACCAGGCTGCCTGTGACTACAGGCCCCAATGTCCAGGACCTATGTCTTATCTCCCCATTCCACTTGCCTTTGAATTCTCAGAACTTTCGTGCTTTGAATAGTGCGGTGAGTGCCGTGCGATCTTTTCTTTGCTCCTGAGGTAAAGCTCAATAGCTCAGTTGGAGGCTCACCACTCTTTAGAAACAGTGAGGACTTTGGGTCACTCAGGACCTATGACAACAGTACAGGGTACTGCTGAGCAGCAGGGAGGCAGAATAGAAGAGAGATTGCCAATTTTCCACTCCTGCACACCTTCAAACACTCAGAGGTACCTTGAATAAGTTAGGATGGAACGTATAGAACACCAGATGACTAGAAACAACCGCAGAGGCACAAGAAATATGAGCAACCAACAAAATGCCTCTCCCCCAAGGGAAATGTTAATCCCACATCACCCACAGACAACACAATGGGCGTCGTGGACATGTCGGATAAGCAGTTCAGAATATTTGTAGTGACCAAACTAACTGAGATGCAAGAGAAAAGAGACAATGAGCTCCAGAAAATGAGGAAGCCCTTTCATGATTTGAAAGAAGAAACAGACACCTTAAAAAAGAATCAGTTGGGGACCAGCAGTTAGCGTAATGGCTATGTTGCTGGACTCCCATGTAGTCGACTGCAGTTCGAGTCCCAGACCCAGTGGCTTAAACTCACTCCAGGTGTATGTGCATGCCCAAGATCCCGAGAGGAGAAAGGAGGAGAAGGGATTGTGGCATGGCCATCCCCCTTGGGTGGTGATTTCTTGCTTTCTGTTTCTCTCTCTCTGTCTTTCTGGCGAGCGCCTGTGCCCTATAGCAAAAACCTCTCCAAAAAAAATAATAATAATAATCAGATGAGGACCAGCAATTGGTGTTATGGCTCTATCACTGGACTCCCATATAGTTGACTGCGGTTTGAGTCCCAGATCTGTTGACTTAAACTCATGCCGGGCACGTGTGCGTGTGTGCCCAAGATTCCGAGAGGAGAATGGAGGAGTGGAGGAGAAAGGATTGTGGCATGGCCATCCCCCCTGGGAGGCAATTTCTTGCTTTCTATCTCTTTGTCTCTCTCCGTCTTTCTGGCAAGCACACACTCCCTATAGCAAAAAAAAAAAAAAAAAAAAAAAAA